AAAAATTTAAAGGTCTTAATAATTTGAAAAATATAAAATAAGAACAAAATCCATGCACACAATAAACAGTAAAATTATCAATTAAAGTATTTACTATACAAATTAAATTTTATATACGAACATAAAAAAAAGCAATTTTTATGTTACCATTCTTATAAAAGAATTCTAACAGTATATAAATATAAAATTTAAATGTATTAAATGAGTTAATGCAAACATTTACTTACCTCCTTATACATAAATTTACATTTGGTTTTCTTGTTTTCCAAATAAAAATTTTATTAAGAATGGGAATTATTGATATCACGATTTATGTTTGAAAAAAAGGAAGTTGCAAGTAATTCCAATAACTCTTAATTAAAGTTAAATTTTAATTTCAAAGATTGAATAAAATAAAAGCTAACAGAAAATTTATATCTGAATTAAAAATTGTTAATTTAAATGATGCAATTAAATGAGCTAAAAACTGGAATTTAACTGGAACGTTTTACGTTTGTCTCAGAAAAAATCTCTTGACAAAATGACCTAAGTAAATGTCAACAAGATTCATCACCTTGGATCCCTTACATCTATTTTCCTAGAACATCTAGATAATTGCTAGTTTAAGACAACTTGAGGGACATATAAATGGTACTGTAAATATATGACATTTTATAAAAGCACAAAAGAGCCCAGGGTCATAAAAATGATTAAGGCAATTTAAAAAAGCAAAAGGTCATTTTCCCATGGTGTAAGAGGAGATGGCTATTTTTTGAGGAGTCAGATAACTGTGGGTCAACTCTGTGGGTGGTATGAAGGTTTTAACACCTTTATACCACCCACAGTCAAAAGATTCTTTTAAGTCTCAGTGTAGGATGCATATTTCAGGATGCAAAACAGTGGTACTTATTTTAGTTTTCTAAACACTTATGTTTTTTTATGATGTGCTCCTCTTCTCTTTTCGTGTTTTAGTTTAAAATTTTTTGAATAAGTTAAAAGTCGTAATATGTAGAAAAAAATTTAAACAAAACAGAGGTATTTTTCTTTTTTTTGGGGGGGGGCACANATTTAGAAAATAGCTACTAAATTGGAAAAAAAGTAGTTTCTTTTTCTGAAATTCTCAATTCTATTTTACTTTATTGTAGCGAATGTCAAATTTTCAGAAGGGGTGGCCCACATTATCTTCCATCTCAATTAAATTTCAGAGGAAAATTTAATCAATCATTTTCGATTTGGAAAATAGCTTTAAAGTCGAAAATAAGAGTTAAATGCGCCCCTTCTGAAAGTTCTGATTCAAAGTTTTTTTTTTTTAAAAAACAAAACAATTTTACTAGACTTTATTATTTTAAATGTCTAAATTTCAGAAGATAAAAAACACATTTTAGCCCCCCTTACTTTATATTAGAAGAAAATAAAGTTTCTATAATTAATCCCTTACTACAAACAACAAATTAATCCCTTACTATAATTTAAGAGGAAAATGAAGTTTTCTATTTGGAAAATATCGTCGAAGTTATAAAACAAAACAATTTTTTTCTTCTAAAATTTCCTACTTTACTTGATTTTATTCTATTAATGTCTAAATTTCAGAAGATGAGAGGCAATTCCCCCCCCCCTCTCACTTTTATTTGAGAAGAAAATAAAGTTTTCTATTTGGAAAATAGATTCAAAGATTAAATTTTTTTTAGTTACCAATTTCTATTATTTTTTTAGCACTTTGAAATTTCAAAAGGGGCGAAACACTATGTTCGCCCCCTCATTACTATTTTGGAAAAAAATAGAGTGAAAATTGGAAATAAAATATTTTTTCCACTTTCACTTTACTTTTCCAAAAGTCAAAAAATACGTTAATCGCCCATAACAAAATAAAGTTTCCTACTTGATGTATAACTTCAAAGCTGAGAAAGAATAGCTTTTTTTTCTTCTTCTCTAAAATTACCTATTTTTATGGACTTCGTCTTGGAGAATAACTAAATATCAGAAGAGGCAAAGCACATAAATGTTAGTGGGATATAAGGCTTTCTTATTTCAAGAATAGCTTCAAAATTGAGAACAAAAAATTTTAAATTACCGATTTTACATTATTTTTGTGAGTGTCTAAATTTCAGGAAGGGCGAAACGCATCGTTTGCCCCATCACTTAAATTTTAGAGGGGCCTTTTGCCTCCCCCTGGTTGGCACGCCACTGGGTCTGACTCTAGATAGTAGTGGAAACAACTAAGTAAACCAGAAGTGCAATAAGCAGAAAGTGTTAACATTCAACTACATGCAGCTGTGGCCTTTCCCCTTCTCTGCAAAGCGTGTTTGTTCTTTTGAGAAAGGGAAATAATTCGCGAAAAGGTGTTTTACTGTTTTTTCCCCTTTCCTTTATGTTATAGTAGGTACGTAATTACAAATGAGAAAATTTTCAGCAACTCTATCTTAACAAAATTTCTTTCCTATATATATATAATTAGAGTACTGTATTTTGAAAAAACATGACGTGGTCTCTTTATATGGGGCCCCCTTGACCGTCGAGGCATTTATTCAGTACAGAATTTGACCATTAGTTAATACTACTTTATGTTATTTTAAATAATTGAATAAAAGAGGTTCTAATGATGTTTCAAAAGCATAGTTTTTTTCCAACAAATAATTTTTAAAAAAAATTTTTTTTTTCTAAAGTGAACATTTCTTTGGTTTGTTTTCTACTTTCGTTTTTTTTCTTTTAATTTTAATGCACGTATGTAAAATATTTTGTTACAGTATTATTATTTTTAAACCAATAAATCTTAAATCATTTTTAATTTAAGAAAAATGAAATAAATCTTAGGTTTGCTTTTACTTTGACTTCTTTATTATTTTAATTGAAAAAATTAAGCAATGATATTGATATTATAGTAGAATATGTTCAGAATTAATATTTTCTTTTGTAATAGATTTATTCATTTTTATTTATTTTTTATTGATTTCCCATAGTTAATTTCTGAACATATGCTAAATTGCGATGTCTAACGGACAATGTATCACGATTTAAAATTTCTGACATCAACCAGTCCTTATCATAATATTTGACAATTAAGCTACAATTTTAATTGTTTGGCTACTATTTTTGATAAATTTTTGCTCCTGTTCAGGCAACTATTTTTATAGTTTTAGGCAACTATTTTCTTGCTTGAGGCTACTAAAAGCAACTATTTTTGTTCAATTTTTACTGTGGCAACCCTGCCTTGAGAGCCCAACAGCTTGCGATCCAAGTCGAGCACTTTATGGTAGAACTGGTTGTTATCACTATGAAACAGTATGAGTATACGAATGAAGGTACATCGTAGTTAGGAATTGTATGTGTATACAGAACTGAAAACCGGAGATGTTTTTATTGGTTTTTCCTTTGTTCCCTGTCATTATGCATTATGATTTTGTTTTACCGAGCTCTACTTTCAATGAAATTTGCACTCTCAGGAAGGAACTGATACCGCGCACCCTCTGTCCATTCACAGGCTGACCAAAGTGGTTATCAATGCTTAAACTGACTGCAGCCAGTGATGCTCGATTTCGGTGATCTATTGGGAACAATGTCTTACAGTTAGTCCACTGTCCGATCTGTTTAAATTGTGAGTTGGTACGAAGTAAATAAGTTACATTACTTAAGCTGTTTCAAAATGAAATAGTGCCTTCTTTAAACACTTTTAGCTTTGAAACTTATGAAAATAATTGTGTCAATATTTTTATAATCTATTAGGGTCATGATTATAAAACATATAGAGAATTATCAAAATATAAATAAGAGCTGGCTGAATTTTTTGTAGATTAATTAACCTCATTTAATTTGATCAGTTACTGAAAGCTGTACACAGTATAAGCTAAAAATGTTAGGTAAAACTAAAAATATTGAAATATAGATGCATTTATTGTGGCTTCAATGCTGAAGTGTGTTTTTTACCATCACTAATTTATAGTGTTTATAGGTATGCTGGTGGAAGTTTGGCAGACTCTGAAACTACTAATCAACTAACATCCTCAGTCCAGCCATCGAATTTTAGTGGTCCTTTATTGATGAAGAGGCTCAATGGAAAATGTTATAATCTGACTGAAGAAAGGTAAATAATAAGTTTATTGAATGATCTTGTGGAGTAAACACTATAAATATTAAATATCGAAACACATGTTAACTTGATTCCATCACCAGGTACCTTTTGATGGATGAAGGTTGACATTGTCAATAATTATAAATCCCCCTACAATGGTGACCCGGACGTGATCCATCGGAAGGTACCTCAAGCTAGAATCAAGTTAATATGTCTCATATACTAGCGATTCACTATTTAATATTTCCAGTGGTAGTTACGCCACATTACTCCCCTTCCAGAATTTTATCTGGGATAGAATTCGATGAACAGATACCACTGGTTGATTCATGTTGTTTATTTATTTATAAAATTTTTGCTCATTATATTTTTTCCTTCATTTTTTTTTTGTTTTGTTTATATCATTTCGCTCATTTTTTTCCTATATTGTTTATTACCGGGAGACCTTATTTAATTCACCAGATCTTTTTCTTCTTCTTTGAGCAGTTTATATTAAGCAAATCAACTGTTTAATGTGGACCATCCATCATGTTAGCATGTTCAAATCACGTCCGGGTCACCATTGAGGGGAATTAATTATTGACCATGTCAACCTTCATCTATAAAAAAGGTAGTGTACCTTGTGATGGAATCAAGTTAACATGTCTTATATACTAGTGATTCGGTATTTAATATTTATAGTGGTAGTTACGCCACAATCTTGTTTAATATTTGATTTTTGGGCTCTTTCCTGTTAGCCAGGCGCAATCGCCAAATAATGTATACTCCCACCAAATTTCTTACAACCATAAGGGGAATATTAGTTTGGACCCTCTATTCTCTGAATTCATTCTAAACAAAGCACTTTTTCCTTTCTTTCTTAATTTTTGTTTTAAAAAAATTGATTGGTAACAGAGGTCTGTCCAGGCCAAATTTACTACCGTTTAGCGGTATCTTCACAAATTCAACTTTAGGAAAAACGGTAATTTCACAAAAGACTTTTTCTTAAAATTTTATTTTTGTATCCCATAAGATCCATATTTTTGTCTTGATTTTTTAATATAATTTTTAATTTTCACAAATTATGTCTAAATTTTCACGAAATAGCCCAACAAGCACACGACTTTTGGGCTAGTGAAGGGACATTGTCGATTCTCCAAAAATGCCATTACGGCGGGCTTTTCATCTCCGTATCGGTTCCGTTAATAAAGTGAAATCTGGGCCAAAATGAGGGCTAGTGCATGGCATTTCAGGTTAACTTCTGGCAATCGTTAAAGGGCCGGAACTACTTTGTTGCCTTTGGATTGCTTTGCCATTTTTGCCTGTTAAATACCGGGAAAATTTTTTCCCCACAAAATAAAGACAAAATTGCCAGAGTTGCCGTAAAGGCTTTTATTGTACCTTTATGATGTCTTTTTTGCCTTTTTATCAAAAGCTAAATATGTTTCACTGGCACACATCGTTGCTTTGCTTGCCGTTAAGGCACCTTAAATGTAGGCTGATTAGAACCTTTATTTCTGATGCTTTGAACTTCTTTGCCTTAATTGCCGGTGTACACCCTCAACTTACCTCAAACTCGGTTCAATAGAAAGTTTTAATGCCGTCCTTGCTGGTATCACACCTTTATATCAGATGCTTAGGTGAACTTCTTTGCCTTATTTGCTGATATACCACCCTTAACTCACCTCACACTTGGTTCAATAGAAAACTTTAATGCTGTCCTTGCCGGTATCACACCTTTGTGTTAGGTGTCTCGGCAATTTTTTTGTCATTTACTTGCTTTTATTAGAGCTTTCCTTAAATTTCAAAGACTTTTTGCTGCATGTTGTTGATAACAATTCTTACTTAAGGAACATAAATTTTTTTCTCTTACTCTGCTGATATCAGCTATAGTATTTATTGTATTTTAACTTTTTATATTGTAATAAAACAATAACTGCCATTACATGCAAAAAATTTTATGCTAATATGAAAAGCAAAATAGTGGAAAATTTTCCTATGAATCTTCTTACATAATAAAATAGATTTCTTTTTTATTTCATTTTAATCAATTATAAATACAATAAGTTAAAAGTAAAATCATATAAAAACATTGTGTGTTTAATTGAGTGTTCACATTTTTTTACACATTATGAGGTAAAATTAAATAAAAATTTTATTCTAAGATAAAACATATTGCGACTTAATGTATAAGTTATTTAAGTTATGGAAAAAAAATGAAAATAGTTATATCTATTAGACCTACAATTAGCTTTTCGTGATAGAAACATAGCCACAGCCCAGTCATTATTTTTATTTTCAATATTATTCATATTTAATATTGGCTAACTTTTTATTATTGAATTTATCTATTTTTAATCTATTTATTATCTATTTATCTATTATTGAATATTATTCATATTCAATAATAGATAAACAAGAAATATCATAAATATTTTATATATATATATATATATATATATATATGTGATGCCAGAATTGGCATACACATATTTATTTTCTATCTTTTAAAATATCCTTCATTACTTAAGCTTATTTTTATTAATGGAAGAATTACTTTTAAAATAAATCAAAAACTTAATCTTTTTAAGCGAACATAAAATATTTATTTCTTCTCTTCCAGATCAATGTAACGGATACTTTCTTTTTATTTCATTATTATGCAGACATATAAATTCACTGTCGCCTCTAATCGAAAACAAAAATCTATTTATAACTTTTTATTCTAATTTTCCAACGGCTAAATGTTTCGGTTGCATGGTTATAAGAATTCACATAAATTTGTTGGCGACTCGTGATCGCCAAGGTGTTCTTTTAAACCCATGTGGATATGCTAGTTGGCTTTGTTTTTGGCTATGATATATTATGATAAATCGCCAAATTTTGGATCTCCTACCCATACTCTTTCTCTGTCCGTTGAGAATAAATATATTCACTTT